TAAAATGAAAAGGTAACAAAGACTAGTGCCAAATTTGCTTCGAGTAGTACAAAATAGACTTTCTTCTATAGGTAGTTTTCTTTTTTCGAATAATTTGTTAAGAAAATGATGATGGGATGAAAACCAAAACGTCTATGGTATTTTCATCTTGTTAGGGAATTTCAACACTATCATAATTTATTTTTTATGGGATTTTTTGTGGAAAATTTATGTACAAATTCAACAATAATGAGTTTTTAATCAAATTGAAATAAAGAGATTAACGCGATTTCTTATTTTAAATCTTAAGAAATTAAGTTTTTTTTTTATGTTATTTAACATTTTTATATTTGGATTAAATATGTTTTTAGTTTCTAAACTATGACCGTTCTGGTTTTCGTCCCTCTTCCAAAGTAAGGTACAATTTAGTCCTCAATCTTTAAAAAACGTTCGTTTTAGTCGAAAAAACGAACGTTTCGAGGACTAAAAACAAAATTTTGAGGACTAAAACGAACGTTTTTCTAAAGAATGAGGACCAAATTGTACCTTACTTGGACGAAAACCAGAAACGGCCAATAGTTTAGGGACTAAAAACATATTTAACCCTTTATATTTATTGAATATGAGATCTTGATTTACTTTTAAATTTCTTTAATAGTTTTAATTCTAAATCAATAATAGTTGTTAATATTTTATTGATGAAGAAAATTGAATTTATAATCTCTTACATTCTCTTTTCAACTTTTACAATTAAGTTAATTTTATATCTCTATATAAAATTTCTTAGTGGTTTAATCACTGAATTCACTGTAAGTTTGTTTTCAACTCTTAGTGTATATGAAGGGTTTCAAAAGTTTATGATTCATGTTATATATATACATACATACATGTATATATCATAGTAACAATAATAGGAGTTAGATAAGTAGTATCTCTTTACTACTCATCCTATTTAAAATTTGATTTGTTATTTATTGAGTATTCATAAAAATAAAGATATTTTTTTATATTTTTGTATGTAAATATTTTCATATTTTATTATTTAAAAAATTTAAAATAAAAGTATTTAAAAACAAAACATTGAAATATAAAGATAGAATAAAAAAAAGTTAAGTTTGAAATATAATGCAAATCAAATTAATTTCTAAAATATTAATAGAAAAAATTTGGTCTTTTTAAAATACAAATTTAAATGAATTGAGTTAAAATAAATTTATAAAAATATTAATCCTATAACTTCAATAAGTCAAATTTTAAATTATTAAGTAATTATTTTTTTTTCTTATTTTTTTAGTATTCATAAAAAAAACTGTAAATATCCATTCATACAATTTTTTTTATCATCTCCAATTAATGCTTTGTAAATTTTAAAATTTATTAATTACTTTTTCTCAACGTCTTTAAAACAATAACATCAATAACTACATATTAAATAAGGATGTTTTAAAGTTCAACAGAACAATAATCTATACTTATTTAGATATAATCTTAATCTACATGTACAAATCTTACACATCAATAATTTTGGAACGCAAAGGAGTAAGTATTTAGTCAATTAATCCAATCATTAATCATTAATCTCTAATTATTAAGCCTCTCTGTGTTATTATCAATTCCGATTAACAAAAAAGTTACTAATTATAAATGAGTGGAACTAGGTAAGTGGTTGATTGTTGTATGTTGCAGCAACAAAATCATGGGAACAATTTTCAGTTATTCATAGTATTTTACAAAAACAACATAGAAAAAAATGAAAAGGTGGTGGCTCTGTTCTATCATGAATGATAAATCTTAATTACTGGCAGAGAAAGAAAGGATGGTAGATCTGAATGTAGTTGCAACTGCAGCTATGCATTTATGAACAATTAATTTATTACATTATAAAGCCCTTTTTGTGGTCCCTTACAAAAGGAAAAACCTTACACATTTATTACTCTTTTAAAACCATATCAATACTAACTTCATTTTTAGTGTAACCCCAGAATTGTAAATAATAAGGTTTCTTTCATTTTCCATCACTAATTTATATTCATTACTTTTATTTAATTTTTTTAATCAAAATTCTGTTGCAGATTTTTCTTTTATTTCATCTCATCTGTTTAGTCTTTTTCCTCTTACCTTTTTAGGTACGAATATTTAAATATTTACTTCAATTGGTACATCTTTAGGTTCAATGCGTCCCCAAAACTCAATAGTATAAATAAACTGTACTAAAATCTAAGAAAGTAACAAGTAAGAGTATTTAAAGAAATTTTTTTTATTCTCACCAAAAAGAAAAATAGTGATAAGATTTTTAAAATATTTATTACAAAAATTTAGCAAATTTATCACACATGATTAATTCGTTTGGAGTTAAATGAAAGTAGAAAAAGTTTTATACTATTTATACATAAATTATTTTGTCATTTGAAAAACCATCGAATTTTATTCAAAACTTAAAATCAACAATATATAACTATTATGAGTACGTATGAGTTTATTTTTTTGTAAACGCTTTTTAAAATAAGAAAATATGGAAAATATTTAATGAATTTTTATAAATTAATAGTAATTTACATATAAGCAAAAAGCTAAAATTAAAGCTAAATGAGAGAGATTGTATAAATTAATTTATACATCAATTAAATTTAATTGGTAGAGAATTTTATTTCTTTTTATCTTTTCTCTTATGTTGGAAAATTGAAGTATGATAAGAAAAAAATCCATTACATAAACTTAAATCGATTGAGTCTTAAGAATGACAGAAATTCTTATATTCATTCATTTTTTTAGCTTATTCAAAGGAGGGAATGAGATGGGAAAAACAAATATTGTCTCATTTGGTGAAGGGCAAATATAAATAATAGTATAAACTATTTTCTTCTTATCATTTTGGCTTTCTCATAAAATGTAAGGGTTTTCCTCTAAAATGTAAGGGTTTTTTTTTTAAAATTCTCTCTTTTCTTTTCTCATACGACTTTAACCAAATGGGCATATTTATTGTCACATTATGATTAAAAAATAGGGCATTTTAAATAAAATATAAAGATGGATTATATTTAATGTTCAAGCTTCTGTCCTGCATTATATATAGTTGACATTATTAAATGAATCATGAAGAAAAAATGAATTAAAAATGGCTGAAAAAGATGCTATGAACTATAGTATGGTATTACTCTATTGTGAATATTCTTTCTTCTCTCCGAATGGTTATTAAATTTAGGCGTTGGATAGTTTTGATGAAGTCATACATACCTACTACACTAATAAAGAGGATCATAACTTTAGTTTCTCATGCATTTTTCCACTATTCAAAGCATTAGGTAATAACCTAACTAACATCTTTGCTTTTTACTTTTAGGGTAAATTCAAAATAGTATCAAAATTTATTATAATAAGATTTATTGAATCACATAATATTATGTATTTATTAATAATTTCTTCCTATTTTTATGTTCAAAATATTTATTTTCATAATAAAAGAGTGTGTTAGAAAGTTTACGTCAATTAAAAATATAATTAAATTACAATACATAAAATTCATTTTTTTCAAAGAAATATATTAAGAATAAAAAAGTAATAAATATAAATCTATTCTTAATTTTTCTTGAACTATAAAGTTTGTAATTTTGTGATGTGAGATATTTCTAATTTTTATTTCGAAATTACAAATCGAATGACATCAGAGATTTTGTCATATTTTAACCTTTAAATTATAGTTTTTGTTTAAAATAATTTAAACGAAGGATTTATTTAGACCAATCTCAATTGAATTTAATCGACATTTTAATTGGCTCAAAAGGGCAGAAACCCCAATAATAAAATTTTGTTTTGAAAATATAAACAAAGTTTCTAAATAAAGGAATTTTTTGTAATGACCTTTGAGATTGTTTATTCTTAATTAATTAAAAATAAAAAATAAAAGTAAAGTACATAATCCAATAACGAAGGAGTGGTATGTAATTAAAGGTATCACGTAAACTTTAATAGTTGTTATATGATTAAGATAGTATAAAATTGAGTTAACATATCACAATCGAGTTAATAAAGTAGAAATAAAAGTTACATACTATAGCCGTTAGAGTAAAGGAATTTGCCGTATTCTATTTAAGTATAATCTTAAAACCCAAAATAATTGTATCCCATACTTTCTTCCTACAATAACATTTAAACATCTCTTGCTTACAAGATATCATAAACTAATTCCATCTTCTACGATAATTATTATAATATATTTCTAATGATTAAATATGTTTTTAGATAAATATGTATGTTAAAATTTATAATCATTTATTTGAACATAATTAAATTGATATAAATGTGGAAGTGGAGCCACTCACCCCAAAAGCGCGTGCGTGGAGGCAAAGCTACCAAAAACATGAAAGGTAAAGTGGCAAACAAAACATCGAAAGAGAGAGAAGGAGGTGCAAATTTGGATAAGGCACCCATTATTATTCATCACTCCTTTCTCTCTCTCATAATTTCTTTCATCAAATAAATAATCACTTTTAGCATAATTTTTAACTTTCACACTATTTCTTTTTAAATTTATACACATTAACCAAGTCAAGATACACATTATCATCTTAAATATACGTTTTAATAATACGTATAGAAAATGATTTACTGAATATATTTTATATTATGATTATAAAACTTAAAAAAACTTACTAAAAAACAACATAAAGTTGAACCGCCTTTTTCATCAGTTAAATGAAGAAACAAAATTTTAAAAAGTATACAATTATTAAATATGAATTTTGTTGGGAAAATTAAATATAAATAATTTATAATTTTTAATAATTTGGACTTGGACATTACAGAATAGAGGAGTATAAACTAAAGTGTGGTGGAGAGTCTCAATATATTTTATGCTACTTGTGTGTTGAACTTATTAGATATTTTAATAGTATAATTAATTAACAAGATAAATAGTACTCATATAAAAATATTTTTTTTATGAATAATGGAAGGGCGACGGTGCTGATGCGTACACGTGTCCTGACAATCCCACCGTCTTGGCTTTCAAGAACAGCATAGAAGCAACACGAAGCACCTCTTTCTCTCTCTTCCCTCTCTTCTGCTTTCTCTTCACTGTCTCTGTGACTCTACCAGAAACTAGAGCCAGACATATAGCCCAGAAGGGTTTCATTCACCAAACCAATCTCTCTCTTCGTCTCTTCTTCCATTTCACAGACTTTTCCTTTTTTGTTGTTTTTTTGTGGTGTGATCGCTGCGATGTACGTAGCTTCCATGCGTAAGTCTTTCAAGGACTCCTTGAAAGTCCTTGAAGCTGACATCCAGCACGCCAACACCCTGTGGGTTTTCTCCTCTCACCCTTTTTTCTGGGTTTTGTTTTTAACTGTCATCTTCCTTCTTATGTTAAATTTTAATTTTTTTATTTGAATTTAAGGTGATCACTGCTGCGAAAGGTTGGTGGCCTGTCATTGGCTGTTACCTTTCCTCCTCTCTTTTTCTTTTTTCATGAAAAATCGTTTTTTTTTCTCTTGGGGGTAAGTGGTTGGTGATTGCTAAGTGAGGGTTTTTCTGGGTACTATGATGATCTTCTTCTGGGTTTAGCCCTGTTTATTTATTTTTTCTCATTGGTTTGCTTTTTTCTTCTGGCTCTGGTTAGTTATAATCCTTGAATATTTATTTCCTTTATAAATAGGGTACATTTAATTTACTGATAAAGCGTGGATAATTTGATTTTCAGTGTTGATCGTTCCTATCTGTGTCTTTGTGTGCGTGCCTGGTGTGGGGAAATTTGTGTGTGGAAGTGTCAAAACGCTTAGGGAGTGAATTCTCCGAGTACTTGTTTCGTTGGCTGATGATTTTGATGTTATATTATGGTTTCTTAATCTCTGAACGCTATTGCGTTATTATATCTTTAATACCTGCTACACTATATGGTGACAGGCTACATAACATTTATTGGTTTGGTAACATGTAGTGCTTTTGATGTGCTTGTCGCGAAATATCTTTAGAGGAGCAAGCTGAATGCAATGTTGTCATTTGTAAATATTGCAATGACATTTCTGTCTTAAATTGTCATCAAGTATCAATATACTAGTTAGTGTTGTAAAAGCTAATTTACTGCAGTTAGTTATTGGTTGATCATGAAAAAAAATTGGGATGTGCAGGGCGTCAGATTTTCCAAGGGAATATGATGGTGCGTGCCTTCAGATGAGAATGTCGTACAGTCCGGCAGCGCACTTGTTTCTTTTTCTGGTGCAATGGACAGATTGTCATCTTGCTGGAGCCCTTGGACTGTTAAGAATCCTAATTTACAAGGTAAGGTGCTTTGATTTTTAGGTGTGGATATTGAAATGAGGGACTTGGACCAGATGAAGAATTTGCCTCATGTTGTAGGTCTATGTGGATGGGACAACCACCATGTCTACACATGAAAGAAAAGCAAGTATTAGAGAATTCTATGGTATATCTGTCCTTGTTTTTTAATCTAAATTAAGTTAGTTTGCATATTAGTTTTTGTTTGTTGCTGACACGTTGAATTTCTTCTCTGAGCAGCGGTCATTTATCCCTCTTTATTGCAACTTCAGAAAGGTATCACTGACACTGAGGATAAGAAGCAAAAGGCTGTATGCATGGAGAGGTATCGCAGAAGAGATGATGAGGATTATAGACAGTCTTCTGACATAGACATTGAAAGAGAAGATGAATGTGGAATATGCATGGACATGAATACTAAGATTGTGTTACCCAACTGCAACCATGCCATGTGCCTGAAATGTTACCGAGAATGGTACTTCATCCAACAAATAATCTCTGTATCTCTCTCTCTCTCTCTCTCTCTCTCTCTCTGTGTGTTAATATGTGGCACTTCCCATTCTTTTACCAGCATGTAGATGTATAGCTGTTTGACTTGTTTCTATACGGTTTGATTCTTTGTGTTCTCTAACAATAAACTCTATGTTTATGGTTTGTTTATTAGATTTTCTGACTTCATGGATTATTAACACAGTCACTACAAAATGAGTACAATATTTCAGCCATAGTAAAATTTCAATTGTCGAAGGTTTTGGGTTTGTTCAGTTCGTTTTGGTAGTAATTGTTTATAACCTGGTTTAGTGTCTTTTTTCGAATGGAGGCTTTAAGTGGTGGAAGTTACAAGTCTCACTATGAACGTTCTGTGCTTGATTGCAGGTGCAATTACACGGCACTGTGCATATGAAGGTTTGATTGTCGCTTGTTATTACTGCTTGAATGTGAATATTTAATGTAGTAAAACAAAATTAGTATGGTGGTGTAAAATTATTTATTAGAAGAAAACTATTTATTTGAATTGATATAGTTAGCTTAAGTAGTTGGTGGAGGAATGTGTCTTGCGTTTATGTCTTCTGAATGCCACTTGGCTGATTGGCACTTGGTGTAATTTTTTACTATGATGATATTAACTCTTCAGTCTGTTGTAGTTTGTAAGGCTTAAAAAGTTAGTTATATTTGTTTCTGGATTTTGTGTGTTTTCGTTTCTTGAATATCCATGTTGCGAATGAAAACGTCCAGTAACCAATTTTGCCTTCTGCAATCATCTCTTTAATGAAGTCTGTTGTTCTTATATGTGAATGTGCAAGCACAAAAGGTCTTCCTAAATCATAGAAATTAAATTTTTCTTAATTATTGTACCTTGATTTACGAGAAAGACAATTTGTTTTGCCGTTTTCCTGTGGAACTATTATGGGCTATTTGTTGTTTGTGTGGTGGTTGAAAATGAAAGAGAGTAGAAGTGGGTTTCAGGGTCTGGCTATGAAACCAGACTCTGGTCATTTTTATTGAATATTGGTTGATGGGATCATGCACTGTCAACTTGGGATGACTATTCATCGTCTGCGCTAAAGTTTCTATGAGCTAATCTGCCTATACTGTGTAGTTTGCTGACAGCTAACAAAATGGTTACTTGAAAATGACCTATAACAATGGACACCTGGAGGATTTGAAGCCAAGACCCTTTGGTGGATAGTATTCAATCCTACCAGCTATTGAGTAAACGTCATCTGTGTCTGTTTCTAGTTTGAAACAGAACACTAGGACTGTCACATGTATATGTCATTGTTTTGGTGTAGATTTAGCTACCCTTTATTTTAAATTGCTACCTTGTAGCTCCCAGCAACATGTTGTCGAAGTATTTTGTAGGTTTAGTTGAAGTTTGAAGTGATCTGATAAATTTTGCAGGCGAACTATATCACAATCATGCCCATTTTGCCGTGACAGTCTGAAGAGAGTGAACTCAGGTGATCTGTGGGTATTCACTGATAGGAGGGATGTGGTAGACATGGCAACAGTGACAAGGGAGAATCTGAGAAGGCTTTTCATGTACATAGATAAGTTGCCTTTGATTGTTCCAGACTCCCTTTTTGATGCTTATGACTCTCACATACGGTAAGTGATTGCAACAGACAGATTTTAATGTATGCTGTTGTTGTCTTGGATCCCTTGTTCCAGTTGAAGTTAGTGACATAAAAGCCAGAAGCGGAGTCGGCTAATTGAGTTGTTATTATAGAGTTGCAGTACTTGCTTCCCACTTCTGGTGGCAGAAGTATCCAGCCCTTGTGATATTGTGGACTGGTGGTGAAGTTGAGATGGTAAATTGTATCTATCTAGTTAGCTCATTTGTATATCCCTGTACAGATCAAATCAATCACTTATTAACAAGAGATTTGCACATTCCGTTCTTGTCATTTAGGTGTGAATCTCTTGCGAAACTCTTTTATTTTTCATCATCAATGAATGTATTTAACGGAATGTCTGTAATGTGTTCTGTAGTTTATGTATATGCATTAAGGCCACCTTATAACAACTGCCTATCTTTACTTAATACCATGGTTTATATAAATATTTTTATTAACTCTTCTCTTTCCTTCATTCTCGTACAATAATCTGCTTAGTAGTTTAAAATATCAGTGATTTGACTTTTGCTTAAATGTATATTCTTGAAGGAGATGGTGGTAACTAGTCTCAGTAACTATGAATTTGAGTTCATTGTCTTGTGTTATAAATGAGTGTAGATATTAACAAGCTAAAAGCCCTACTCACGGTTGGCAAATCCGAACGAGTATTAATGAACAGTGCTGTGGTGTTGTATAAGAAAGGTATAATTACTTGGTGGGAAAGTTTCAAATTGTGGTTTTTTTTTAAAAAGAAATTATTAATACTATTAACGGTATATCATGTTTTAATCTGTTACTGTTTTTTTTTAAAAAAAAATTATTAGTCACGTGTCGTGCATAGTATTATTAACATGTGACATGGAAAAAATTATTATTCACGTAAAATTATTATTCACGTNTAGGAATCATTTTAGGCCATTATTTTGTATATAGGATTGTTGTTTCTGTAAATAGCTTTCTAGGAATGTATATAAGTTTGACATCTATTTTCAATAAAGGATCAGATTCTTCCACTGCCAAGTCTCTTTAAATTTAATTTTTGTCTCATCTTTAGCAGGTATATTTATATTAATATCCATATTTGTCTTTTTTTTATCTCAAATGTTAGTTAAATATTTCTTAAAATAATATAAATCATAAAGAAAACCTTTTTTTTATATAAGCAGACATGATCAATATTTGTTTTTATCTCAAATACTAGTTAAATATCTCTTTAAAAAAATAAAAACCTTAATAAAAAAAACATGAATGATCTAGTTGTTAAATTTCAAAAACGAAGTTATAAATATCAAATAATACTACATACATAATAGTATTCAAATGTTAAGTAATTATAAAAATATTAATAATAATACAATTAAAATTTCATAATAATTATAATATACATTATTTCTACAAATATAGAGAAAAAAAATTTTAAATGAATTTGGTAAATATTGAATAAGTTGAACTAATAAATGATTAAGAGTGTGTAGAAAAATAAAACTTCTTTAAATAAAATTAAATTAAGGAGAAAAAAAAGGAGAAAATTAGTTGTTTAGTTCATCTAATAAATTATGAAACATTTATACTATTAAGCATTTTAAAAATGTATGTCTTATGAAATATAATACATTATGTATAGTATGATATCCAAAACGGTTATCAACCAAGACCGAGCGCTCTACCCACTGTAGAAACGCTCGCCAACTCTATCAAACACTCGTCAATTCAACTAAAGTTAAAAGTGCTCGTCAAACCACGATAATTAGGTCAGCGCACGTTAAAAGTCAAGCGACACTTCAAGTGACACTGCGACAATCAATCAATCCAACCAATCCAGGTTCAGCGGACGCTCAATTCAGTCAAACAATATTGGGCCAATTAGCTCAACATTTAAGTAATTGGACCAATAGTCCAGCAAAAAGAAGAAATAATCAAAAAATCTGACGTTAATAACGCGATATGGTTTATACTTATACGTTAATAATCAAATTAAATATTTATTATCTTCTTATTAGGTCAAGATGTTATAGGAGTCACATGTGCCCATCTTCCTTCTTCTTTACATCACAATTTTCCATTTTATTGTGTTGTGGTTTCCTCTTTTGATATAGCTGAGGTATCTAAGGTGAGATATTTGCAAAGACACTTTGACACTTAAGTTAGGGAGATGTAACAAATAAAATAATGCAATAATGATCACTGACATACCTCGCGGACAGTGTATTTATATGGGTCCTGCTTTTCTTGGACCCAGGATTCAAAAACTTACTCTTCTTTAGGATTTTCTAAGCATTATTTTTTTTATCTCGTTCTAATATAGAGATGGTTTATACCTTAAGTTGATGTTGCATTCGTGGACACTTAGTCAGATACCTTTACATCGACGTCTTAGACAAGGTGTATTTATCCATGGATCTTCATTATGCATTAGCTAAGGTGTCTTCATCCCTAGGTCTTCAGTGTGCATTGGTTGAAGTGCTTTCATTCCTAAATTTTCAGTGTGCATTGAATGAAGTGTCCTCATTCAACCATTACACCAGTCTTCCAAAATCAAGGTCTTTAGACTAAGTCTTAAGGCCTTTAGGTGGTATTGACTGAGGTATCCTAGGTATTGACCTATATGTCCTCGTCAAAACAATTTATGTAAACTACTAAGTTTTTTTTTCTAATCTTGATAACTTAACCTTTTTCATCTAACAAATTTGACTGAACACACTATTTTCCTTCGGCTTTTTTTCTTCTTTTTGCTAGAGTAGACTCTTGATCTTTAGTTTGGATTAAATTTGGTCTTGTCATTTTCAAGCCTATGAAAAAAAAAAGAAAAATCATTTACAAAAGAATGAAAAACTACAAAAACATATAATGGTAT